GCAAAGCCCACGCGAAACAAATATTGCAGAGGACCCTCTGTTTCGACTGATTTAGGCCAGCTGTACATTAGTTCCAGGCCCTCGCTCCACTTTAAAGTGGAAAACTTACAACCGCTGTCACAGTGATAGGGGCTTCCCGCGTTTCCCAAAACGCTGGTGATATGGGCATCCCCTGTAAACCTTACCCAAACCCTAACCCAAATCACTAAGGTAATATGATAAGGGGATGCCCATATCACTAGGGTTTTGGGAATGGGGATGCCGCCATTCTACACTTATCGTTATCAATGTCGGATATATCTTACTCCAGGAGCCTGCTTACACCGTCAAGTGTGTAATTTTGATTTCTTCACGCTTTACCTTTATGTACCTTTCTCGTATTTGTATTTTATACACGGGTTATTATTTGGTTTGTTTAGCTCATTTTCCGTTTCAAATATTGTTATTAGAAACCTCTGTCAGTAAACTGGAGTTCATGGAAAGAGTAGTTATGAAATGTCAGCTAAATTTATTCAGAGCGTGCGAGGCTAATTTCACAGGAGGCAATCCTAGTTTTCAGTGTTACTTGACCACTGTCAGCAGTTTAGTTCTTGATTCACAAAAACATAGTCTTTTGTGTGTTCAACAGGGGCAAATAAATGAAATGATGAGTAAGCGAATACATGTACATCGGACCTTAAAAGATGTACTCATAACGAGTATATATATGCAAAAAATAACAAAATAAATAAATAAACAAAACTAAACGGCAGAAATACTAATTATTGAGATATTTTAGAAAAGGCGCCCAGAAGTCAGGTATCTGAGAATGCTTCTTAATACACTTTCGTTTTTGTGCACAGCTTGTACAGAAGTACATTTCATATGTGCCTACGCTGTGAATCAAAGCTTATTAGCTATATGGCTTTCATGATCCTTCATTTCGGGCACGCCTACTATTTTTATGAGCACTGCGCAACTGGTCTGCTCAGAACCAGTTCTGTCCGTTTTTTTGTCATAACATAATTCTTTTAGCTGTTACTGAAACAGCTAACTGAACGCCAATTATAGAATGCAAAGTGCTGGATTATATCAATACAATTGTGATGTATAAGGCTCTTTTTTTTAATCAAAACAAAAGAAATTCCAATTTTTTTGGCTAGCAGTGAAAAAAAGCCATTTAAGCGCGCGCGTGATGGTGCATACTGTCCAATTACTTATGCATGACGCGTACTGTCCTATTAAGGCTGAGATCAGGGCAGTAGATAGCCAATCAGATTCGAGAATTTTGTTATAGTTATGATTGACACCAAAATTATCTGTCTCAGATCGGGCGCATTCCCCGATTCTTCTTGAAAACTCTATCAAAAATATATATCTATGAAACATTTGTAAATACATAAATTTCCTTTCAATAACGTAATTTCCTTGAGCATAATGTGTAAAATGTAACTTTTACCTGAAAATTCTTTAAAAAGGTTGCTGACTTGGTCGCAGTTCAGAAAAGGACATGCCCTTCGCCGTAAAGAAAACAAGGTCGAGGTCCTCGACCTTTCTCAGGTTAAAACTTTTCGGCTTTGTCTCCAAAAAGAAAACAAACTTTTGCATGTCACACGTCCAATCAAAACTGCCATGCATGTGTTCGCGTACTAACTGTTCTGAATGAAAAAAATCTACACTCACAAAAAAAGAAGATTCCGTTTCGACTTTCTCGGCGCCTTTGTATAACGCTTCTGCAAAGCTTGCCATATCATTTTGTTTGTAGTCGCCATGCTGGTTTTGCTGAATGAGAACAGAAGCCTTGCAGATAACTGGTTTGCCGTGGTAGATAGGTTTGCAGCTAGTAGCCTGAGGATGTTCTCTGTCGGTCAAACAGGCGGATTTCGGAGACAGGCTTTGCGATATCGGGAAGAAATGTAAACATCCTTGTCTTACTTCGTCGCTGATCGATGTTTTCAAGTCATACCGCTTATAACTTTGTGGCTCTTTATGTTTTCCCAGGCTTGCATTTGATAGCAGCATAAATACTTTATGTTTTATGCCACGAAACGATTTTTTTTCAGTTGTAGACACATACTATACCTGTAAGCGTTGAAAGCTCAAAGTTTTAAGCCTTGAATTCTCTGATTCCATATTTGGGCAAAATAATTTTCCGTGCTTCTGATTGGACCGCTGTGTCGCCTAAAAACCGCAGCATGGTTCTAAACAGATAAGGGGAAGTTAAACGCTTTGGGGTTATATGCTTCTGATCTTGATGTACCTAAGGATTCGTTTTTCATCGCTTGATCTACTCATATAAATGCATGAGCAGTTCAACAGTTTTAAAGGCAACAAAACGAGTCGAATAACGAACGAAGCAAACTTACGCAAAAGCACAAGGATGTCACTTATTATAAGCATAAAGCTGATATACTTAGGTACTAGGGAATATGCTAAGTGATTTTAGGGCTTCGAATGTGTGCGCCAAAAACATTATAAATGATAATTCAACAAAGCGGGAAAGTTAATTTCACAGTGACTGATACATTAAATTTTACTAATTGCGCGCCCTTCTGAAAGTGTGGGGTCAGTTAGGTTACGACTCGGGTCATTAAGTAAAAACAACAGAAATTGGAACACAATTTTTATAATAATATTTACCATTTAATATATTTCTCAAATTAACATAAAGGTATGATCAAATGCGCATAAAAAACAAACTGACCTGTTCAAAAGTGCAATGGACTCTAACCTCGAAACAAACAACGAGCATGATACTAAGTTTAAGTTTCCTGTAACTGATTAGACCTGATAAGTAATGGTAACAGGACTGAGTGGAGTCCAATTCGGTCTGTAATCATACGAGCTGATTAACAAACGTGGGAGTCCGATCTGTTTAATCACGAGTATGATTACACACCAAATTGGACGACACGAAGTTCTGTTACTAATTCATGTAATCATAACTTTAACAAAATTTGTGATATATAAGAAATTCTACGATCTTTTTTGCTAGCAGTGAAAAAGAGCCATTTAAGCGCGCGCGTGATGACGTATACTGTCCAATTACTTCGCCGTGCCGCGCACTCCTGTCCTTACGCTATTAACTGCCCTATTAAGGCTGAAATCAGGGTAGTTGATAGCCAGTCGGATTTGAGAATTTTGTTATAGTTATGATTAGGAAGCAAACTGTACAAGATATTAACTAGTTCGTTTCTGCACCTCCAAATTTTCACAGGTGATCTATTTAACAAAGCTTAACTTAATACTATATCTGTAATAGATACTGACTCTCGCTACTTGAAGTCGAAGCAAACGAGATAAAGGGGTTGCGTTTAATTTAGGTGATATACACAGATATGACGGGATAAACTGACTGATTTTGGCGCTTCGAATGTTTGCGCCAAAAAATTAAAAAGGAATCCAAAAAACCGGGGAAGTTAATTTCACCGGAACTGATTCATTAAATGCGCGCCCTTCTAAAAGTGTGGTGTCTTGGGTCATCGAGTGAAAACAAAAGAAATTAAAACAAAATTACAATAGACGCTGACCCCGAAACTGCCAGAACAAACACGGTTAATTTTACGGTGAGTGATTAAACCTATATAAGAAAGCAAACCGTTCATAATAACTAGTTTGTTTGTGCACATCGCGGAAAGAACACTGCAAGCAAAGCTATAACTTTTCACAGGTAGGTCAGTTAACAAGGCTTAACTTACTTAATTTGTTACTGACTCTCGTCATTTGAAGTCAAAGCAAAAGAGGCAAGAAGATGAGAGTTGCGTTTAACTTAGTGAACTTTTGCGACACTGTTGAACTATATATTCAAATAGCAGTGAAATACGGTAGCCCTTTACTTAAGAATACTAAAAAATCTCTTTTCCTAAACTTTGCAACAATATCCGCACGGGTGCTACGTAATATAAATTCCTTCAAAGTGATATCTATTACTGATGCTCAAGCTTGCGTCCCGGTTAAGAGTTTGCAGCAACAAAAATAACGGTCGTTTGGCGCCTTTAATATTTTGGCCAACTCAAAAAGGAGCCGACAAGGCGGGAATGTTACTTTTATTTATAGTGACTGATTCATTAAATCTTTTTTACTAATTGCGCGCCTTTCTACTGAAAGTGTGGTGTCAGTAAGTCGCCGACTCGGGTCATCATGGAAAAATAACAGATATTGACACAAAATGTCAAAATAATGGACGTTGTCTCCGAGGATTAATTCTACGGTGACTGATTAAACCTTCTTTGAGAAAGCAAACCGTACAAGATAACTAGTTTGTTTGTGAACCTCGCAGCAGGCACAGTATAAGGAAAGCCCCATTTTGGGTTAACATTTCACATTTTAGGCACCAAATTTCCTGATCCCTCTGCCAGCGCATACCGTCACCTTAATCCTTTCTTTACTTCTGTATAAAAAGCACAAGAATGTCACTTGTTATAGGCGCATAAAGGTAATATTTACAGCAGGCACTGACGCATAAACCGAATTTGGCGCCTTTAATGTTAGCGCCAAAATATTTACAGTGGAAACCAGAAAGGCGGAAAAAGATGGATTTTTTTGTTGCTTATGCTTGTGCTTTTGATTGTGTCGCTCCTGGTCCACTCGTGTAAAGAAAGAACACAAGCACACAACAAGAACATAAAAATCGTTCTTCGTTCATGTGTTTTTGTTAGCCTTAAGCTTGCTTCGTTCGATTAATATTTATCTGCATTTTTGTCGGTTGATGGTAAAAAATTACCTTTTTCAAAAGCTAACGATTAGACTTAAAGCAGTTTTAATAGCGGTTGACGGTTAACCCCATGAAGACCCTCTGTGGCATGCCGTGAACTGCGCATGCGTCCCCACGGGGGACCCCCATCGAGGCAAGGTATGTATGTGCAGTTTTGGTCTGAAATTGGGTATGGATTTTAGGAAACGCAAATTTTTTTTCTCAACTAGCCTAGTTAGAAAGAAACTGGCAAAAAGCTGGAATAAATGGAGACCATCCATCTATCATTCATCACTCCTCATATTTTTCTCCTGCAGAAGATTGAAGAATGAGCATGGCCAAGTTGTTTCTAGCTGCCATGGCAATGGCCGCCGTTTTCTCTGTTGGCGTAAATGCTCGAGTTGCGGCCCATTATAACAATCATGAGGTCAGTTGTCATTCTTTGTCATTCTTTTTTTGTCATGAAAAAGTTTCATTCGATAATGCCCGGTCGTTACAAAACAATCTTGTCCTCTCAGCAGCCAATCCACGAACTACGTAACTATGCCTCTTTTGAGTTTTGAGTAAGAGCTACGAACGAGCGCGTAGAAGAAAACAACAAAAAATGTGAAAAATACCGACAAAAAATAACTATCTTAAATTTTCAATAACTGAAAGAAAAATACTAGCTTACCGATACGTCTTTAGTATAAGCGACGAAAACCTCTTGCGCGCCCAAGAAGGTGTTGAAAATTACTTCCGGTGTTCTTTATTGGTATTCGTTTTAAGAGTGGCACCAAAAAAGGCCATATAATAAATGACTTATTGACTTCGTCCGTTTGGTCATTACAGGGAAATCTCAGACCTCGGCTCTCGCTATCGCTTTTGCGGCACATCAAGCCCTCGGTCTGAGATTTCCCTGTAATGACCTCACTCTTGGTTAATAAGTGGTATACATGCATGCACCACCATTTTAGGAGGATGAGAGGAGCTTTACCAGCTTATCTACACAAATACACACTGCCTTTTATCGCGGCGGGAGGGGGGAGGGGGTATAGTATCTATTTGTAAAACACTCCTTTCCCAACCAGCTATCTTTATTTCTCTTTTAGGCCTACAATGAATTGGTGAAAACAGGTAGGAAAATAATAATTGTTCTATACGATAACCAACGTGTCAAGAAGCACTGTGCCCTACAACACAGCATATTGAGGCCTATTGCAAATCGCCGAGATTTCCCAGCGCGGGAAACCGCTACAAACACCATCATCACACTATCATCATCATCATCATCATCATTTTGGTCACACTCCTACTCTTTTAACTTTTCAATTTTCATGTGAATTCAAAGCTTATTTATGTTTTGTTATTTCATTTTAGACCGGTTACGCGAATTATTCAGCCGAGGGAATTGTCAATGCCGTGGTGAGGGTTTTCGTGATTCTGGCTACGGAAGTGGGACAACCTTCTGGTTTGTCGGATGTAGCGGCAACTGGCAAGACTGCAAAGATCCAGGACTTATGACCAGTTGTTGCCGAGAACAAGGGAAGAAATGAACGTCTGCAACAGTTCGCGAGCCAATTTACCAATAAACTTACGGCCATAAATGAGTGGTATACCAAAGTTACATTACATCACCATATTTAGCCACTAATTGATTTTCAATTCTCTGATACCTTTTTAGAATTGAAAGATCAAAACAAAATCCGTTAAAAGAGCTTCAGTCTGTATGCTTACTGGAAGATAATTTATAGTCGTGTAAAGTTCTAGAGGTTTCTGTATAGACTCCAGTTGTAGTGCTTTTATTTTGTGTTTAAGTAATGAAAAAAAAAAAATCTGATTTACCGCATCATTTTCTTGTGACTCACAGAATTTTCATACTCCAACCCGTTGAAAAAAACAGAAGTTTCGATGCTGTCGGCATTTAAAGACTGTTACCACTGAGCTTACCGATTCTGTGCATTAAAGGAAAGTCGGAGAATCTTTGCTTCTTAAAAAAGAGTAGCTTTTGATCCAAACGTTTTGTTGCATTTCCCTTCCATTCTTATAAATTTAAGGCCCCTAAGGCCATCCGATGTGTTCTGGCTTTCGTGAGCTAAGTAGTGACTGTGTGAAGAGTCACGCAATGACGTAATCCTGACCGTTACTAACGCTAAAACGAGTGGGCGCGATCCATTCAACCAAAATTCCAACCGGTCCGACCGGGAAAAGTGGTCCACCTCAAAAGGTGGACCCGTTTTTTCGAAACTTTTCCGGTTGGACCAAACCGATCCATTGAGTTTTGGACCGAAATTTCCAGAAATTTTGGTTGAATGGATCGCGCCCAGTGAGTGAGAGAGTGTGCGAGTGATCAGTTTTTAATCCTCGCTCGAAGCAACTTAGTGTCCTACAGGGTGAGATTTGTTCATCTTCAAAAGGCGACCAGTGGCAGAAAGTATGAAAAGAAAAGCGAAAAAGTCACTATATTCGATTAACAAGGTCGAGGAAAACGTGGAAACTTTTTACGTTTCAATGTTTATGCGAAACAAACTTCATTATTGGATAATCGCCCAGCGACATGTAGTTTTAACGGCTAAAATGTAGGAATTTGCAGCGAGCGACACAAATTGACTCCCCAAAGGACGATTAATCTATTGTTTGCATGAAAGTAATAACTTGTATTCAAAATTTTGAACGGAGAGTTGAAAGTGTAAGTGTGCCTTTGTTATGCAAGTTTCTGAGATGAAGGTTTGCGACAATGCGTCCAAGTAAACGTCACGGAGGATTTCAAAAATTGCAGTTTTTGACCTTTTGTCACCAAGATTTTCTTCATAAACTTGGCGCGAAGCTTTTTAGAACAACGAAATAGGTAATAGCAATATGCTAACTCATTTTTTGGTGGGGAAAAATTCACCATCGAAATATTTGTCGGTCGGCCGTTTCGCATACAAATGAAGATTCCTTAAAATAGACCAAATTCGAACAAAATTTGTGCCATGTTTCACTTGTGGTTACGCCTGTTAGTTCGATTCCATGGCTATCTACAAAAACCATAGTCGTAAGCTCGAACAACATACACACTGTCACTCTTTTTTCAGGCCATTTTCCCTATTGACTCATCATTTGACAATGAGCGTCTCATATAGCAAGACCCTGAATGATGACACCCCATTGTGGAAGAGGTCCAAAGATGAGAATGCCACCAATTGAAACCCCAGACCCCCCCCCACCCCCGTGGTGACCGGGGCATTCTCTCTCGCTTTTTATGCAAGTGAAAGTAAGTGAATTCTCTGCTCCCCTGGGCCAAGTGAGTGGCCAAATTCCCTCCCCCTCGATATGTCCCACACACACTGTACTCCCCTTTTTAAAACTCTCTATACTAATCTTGTTATCGACAAGCGTAACAAGGGATGAAAAATAATATGATGATAGCCGTGAAAGAACATGTTGATTTCGGGGCGGCAAATTTTCGCAAAAGGAAAACTAAAGGTATTTATTATGATAAAGGTCAAAATAAAAGATATTCTAATTAGCGCAAAAATCGTTCTAAACAAAAACTGATCGGTGAAAACGCCATGACAAGAGTACATGGGAGTCTCCGGTCACGAATTTAGCTTTGAGGAAATGCTCATACAGTACTTGAATCGAATCATATCGGTACAAAGGCATCCATTTCCCCGCCTCTTGTAAGTCCGAGGGTTAACTTACATCCCCGGCAAATTCAGTCTCTTAACCAGCTACTGGTACCAAATGGCTCATAGCGAAAAAAATATATATTAATTCAGGCCTCACCAAATTACAGACTGAGTTTGATTTTACATTGACCATGCGGACAAATGCACTGCATACAAAGAGTCTTTGGAGATAACAGCTTACTGACTGGACACCAAAATGAAAGAAGGCGACGTACACCATACTCGAAGATATTGGTAAACTAAGTTAAACGGCTCCCTCTGCGCAATGAAAAAGATCCCCAAATACCGTCTCCCTAAATACTCTGGTAAAACTCCACGCAACCATAAACTGTTCGTCTTCTAAAGAAAATGAAACTGCAAAGAAGTTTAATATCATAGCATGCATTTATTCAAAAACTTCTCTTAATCAAATTAACTGGTCAGCTCATTTCATAGCAAGAGGCCACTGGGCGGTTCTCAACAGTCTTATGCATATTAAAGAGAATAGATCAGAAGGCCTATATCTATCCCCTGTAGGTTTTAGGACATATATATTAGCGCACAACTGATGACTGGCGCGCGTTGACGACCAGTAAATGGAACGTTTCTCGTTAAATTTTAATAGATTACAGCCGTTAAAATTTTTATGCACGCGCGTTGCCTTGGCAAATCAGCAATTTAAAATTAGGAGTTGTGCGTTAACAGTTAGGGTTAGGAGTTTCGTTAAATTTCCTCTAGATGCTCCCTTGAAGCACACAACTAGCAAAGCGTCACACGTTTTATTAATGATTAATGCTACTTAGTCTTCAACTGCTTTCAGAGTTTTTTGTTTACCGAGACGGAATATGCTGTGAGATAACTAATACGTCATCTCGCCTTCGAACCATCCTGTGACGCACCATCCGGATAGGTGGGCAGCTTTATCAATCGAGTTTTCGGTAGGACCGAAATTTGGGAGAGTTTTCCATCCATAACACTCACACTTACTACTGTACTCATCGTGGATAGTGGATGAGAAGGCAACACAGCCTGACCAACCCTTGCATTTTCTTTCGCATTGATCTCTACATTGCTCCTTCCTTTTCCTTGTATAAAAACCTGTTGGCGTAGTCTCCAGACTGTAAAACTTGTAGTTGTGGGGCCTGTTGAGGGTGGCAGTGTACAGAATATTGTCCGGATCGGTGTTACTCTTACATTCCGTCGAGGATCTGCACAGTCCTAAAAAAAGTCGAGTGTTATTAGAGATAAATTGTAAAACTATCTTACCCCGAAAATTTTGGTCGGCGTTGGGCCAAATTGCCTCGTGGCAGTCCTGAAGAGAAGATGACGCTTTTAGAAGGAGTAGAATCATTGTCGTATAAGCTGACCCTAATTCTGCTTCTCTATATTGTTAGTTGAGAAGTACTTTCCAATTTCAGTGTGTTAGACAAAGAGAGGATAGTGTTCTCGGGTTAGACCGACTACTTTCTGCATCACCTTTGACGCATTATGTGCTTAGAAAATAAAATTTATATAAATGATGTCACAGTGGTGATCTTACCAACAGCTACAAGAGACAGCAGTAGAAGAGGAACAAGAATCAATTCACTCTGAGACGACATGACAGCAAATTAAACAGTGGGAAGCCTGTGAAGAAACAGAATCTTGCATGATCTATTTGTAAGTTACCGCAAAATTCCAAAAATAAGCCCCCCAAACTCGTAACGCAAATAACCCTCCGATAAATCGCCCCTCCAAATACAAGCCCCCCGGGGGCTTGTACTCGGAAATTGCCCGCATATTCAAAATTAAACAAAGAAAATTGTTCCAAACACATAAAGTTGTCGGCATTTGCCAAAGAACTATTACGTGTGCCAAATGATTGCTGTCAAAAAGTGTCACATTATATTGCTGATTGCGTAGTTCACTCTTCAGTCTTGGCTTGGATTTAATCCTCGGTCCACTGAGTACTTGCATGGCTGAGTTTAAGAAAGATCTACGTCCTCAAGGCGAGTTTCAGTAAAAACCTGCCGCAAATTACTGACACAAATTTCCTTCCAACTATGAGCCAGCCCAATGGATTTTGAGACGCATATCTCCCTCCCAGTATAAGCCTAGCTCGGAGAGCTCTTGGCCTAGGAATGGGGGTAATTCCACTGATCCGAGGAAAGCATTAACCTCGTGAGTTTTCGTGATCAGGGGCGGACAAGAGATCATAAGAGGACTATTATGGCTCTTGGGGCGGATGAAGACAAAGTAAATCAAAAGAACGCCCTTAGCGCATTGGGCGTATCGTTATATTGGTAATGGTTCTCAGCCGACCAGTTGCGCAGTGCTCATAAAAACAGTAGGCGTGCCCGAAATGAAAGATCATGAAAGTCCTAGCACAAGCTTTGATTTACAGTGTAAGCACATTCTCTAATAACTGACTTCTGGGCGCGTTTTCTAAAAGACGTCAATAATTAGTATTTCTCCAGTTTAGTTTTGTTTATTTATTTACAATGTATCAATTTATTTATTTTACTATTTTTTCCCTGCAGTTTAGACAACTTTCTCAGTTTAGCTGAACCACAGAGGAGAATGTTAATAGAACATTCTCTTAAATCGAACAATACAACTGAATATACCCCTTCCGATATTATTAATGGTAAATTGCGCTCAAATTCAAAATAAAACAAAGCGAAAACTGTTCAGTAGCACAATTTTTTGCATTTGCCAAAGAACTATACGTGTGCCAAATGAATGCAGTCAAAAAGTATCACAATATATTGCTGTTGGCGTAGTTCATTCTTCAGTCCTGGCTTGGATTTTCTCGGTTCATAACGACAAAGTACTTGCATGGCTGAGTTTAAGAACGATCTACGTCCGCAAGGCGAGTTTCAGTAAAAACCTGTTGCAAATTGTTGACATAAATTTCCTTCCAA